CACTGAATGAAATGAAGAACATGCAGGTTTGGCCTCCGGTTGCCTGCCTACCGGTTTACTCACAGGGAATATGCACGCAGGATGAGGTGCTGTGTCAACAGGAACCTCCACTGCCACTTAGAAAGAACATTCAAGAAATGCCAAGGAAACAGAATCCTGTTGTGGTTCCATCATTGCAAGAGGTATTTGACCAATTTGTATTTGTGGAATTTCATTGTTTTAATTTTGGGAGACTGCAAACTATTAAAATTGTGTTTTACAGTTTCAGCTAACATGTGGAGTTGGATTTGTTTGTAATTTAAATGTCCAGGCAATATGTGATAATTCACCACTGCTCGCGACGCTCACCTGACAATTTCTGATGGAAAGCTACATGCTTGTGCTCATCTAGTGGAGAAATGTGAAGCCACTGCTGGCCCATTCCAGTCGCTCATTTCACCTGCAAGTATCATCTGAGTGGAAATGTAACCTCCCCAGTCTGGAGCCCCAGGCTGACTTTCTAACAGTGTTTTGGAATTATGCGTGGATATAGGGTGGTTATGATGTGTTGTTTAGATTTTGGACACGGTGAATAGAAAAATGTTGAGGGATTTCTTTATTTACTCTTAAATTGCCTATTTTACATGAGGAAAAGGTGAGGTAGTTTATTGAGAATGAATTTGGCTATCTTTGAAGGAAATACTTTTAAACTTGTAAATGCATTCAAAAGTTCAAATGTGCTTTGGCATAAGTCGCGATTGTGCATTTTCTGATGTTTGACTTTTTTGTGCGCATGTATGCTTACAGAACCAACAGCCTACTGCTCCACGCAATGTGCTGTCTGACAAGTCCACAATCACTGCTCAAAAAAGCTTAAACTTGAACCAATTGCGGGAATCGGGGCACTCCCCTCTGCACACGAGATCGTGTTCCGCTTCTCTACAGTGTATCAAGCCATTCCAAGATCAATCCACAGTTGTTCAGGCACTCGACCTGGAAAATGGGTAAAATTCCATTTCGGCGTGTTATTTAAAATTATGCAGAGATATTTTCTGTCAAGTGTTGGGTGAAATGTTAATGTAGTATATATGAAGTGGTGTCTAATAATTATACCTGGAAAGTATAATTTGTCATTTAATTGTGATATTTATAACATGTATTTGTGTTACAGAAATGAGATGCATAAGTCGAATGAAAACAGCTTTCCATCAGAAGACAATGGTAAATGTTTAATTTTACATTTATATATGTGAATATCTACATGTAAATTGACTTCCCACGGCACGTTTTAAAAGATGGACATTTATGTTGAGCACATTTTAGTTGAGTAGTTTTAAGTTAATTGTATTTAAACAGGTGAGAACTGGACCATGATATTCTCATTTGCAACAGTTTCCTGGGGCATTAGTCTGCCAGTAGGGGGGCACCGATTGCCAAGTAATAATCCTATTTGAGTAATTCAGGTAATTTTCGGATTTAGAAAATTTTAATTCTTGACACCGCAACACCTATTCTTGCAATTGATGTCCACCGCAACACCTATTCTTGCAATTGATGTCCAGGGAATCTTTAATGTCCACTTTGAAGCAAACGGCACATTTTTGGATTTTTACAGTAAAAGAGCATCCACTGGATTCCAACTGTTAACCTTTACAACAAGCGACGAATGTGCTACCGCTAGGCCACGTCACCACCAGTTGACATGGAGAGAATATGGCTGTTATTTGCAGGATGCTTTCAAGCACATACGGCACATAACAGGAGTTCAGATTTATTTTCCCAGCCTGATATCACTTAATTTCAGCGCATCCACTGTCCATCATTCAATACAATGTTTGCGTGTTACGAAATGTATGAGCATAGGCGTCCAATGATATTCCATACACAATTGACTGGTGCTAGAGCCACTGGATCTCTGGGTGGCCATAGAGCTTGTGTTGGTAGTCACAAAACTGGGCTGGTATTGGTAGGTACTGGTGGGTTCGATAGGGTGTGGTGGTGTTCTTTTGGAATCCATACTTGGGTGGTAAGTTTAGTGACTTGTGTAAAGATCTATGCATGATACTCATTTGCACGGGCAGTAATATGCCTACAGGTTCCAGTACAACAAGGCTGCTGGATTTTTGCATGTTAATATAACATTAATTGTTTTTGTGAGGGTCCTCTAGCTTACTCATGCACAAAAGTGTTGCTCAAGTATGTTAAATCTGAACATTCCAAGGTGAATACAATTATACGAACAGTTTGGTATATATTTGTGCTGAATCCATTTAGAATCTTTGGCCATGAAAGCAAACCAAAACAGCATTGTACTCCAAAGGAGCCAGGAGGCAAACACATCTGCTGTGACACCCAAGCAACTGAGTGCCGGGCATTCATCCAACCTCACTTCCCCATCACCCTACAGACAGCAGGACCCCACGTTCAATACTAAAGAAGCAATGGGTATGTGCACCGATATCCTCACATGTTTCAGTCATGATTAATCTATACAAAAAGATGATTCCATAAATGATTTCACATTTTGTGTAATACTTTTGACAATAAAGAATATCAACATTGACTTAATACAATTTTGGAAAACGGATAATTGTAATTTTATTTTTGTTTTGTCATTAGGGTTCATCATGTCCATATTCAGTGGAGCACCTGTGGCCAATGATGAGGATGATGTATTTGGCAACCAAGATAGCCGGATGTTTGAGGCACTTTGCAGCAAGCAGGCTGGTGGGTTCAACATTAATTGGTCATGCTGATTGCACGATAGTTTTTATTTGGTATCCCGGTAATTTTATGGGTCTTAATATTTTCACTTTTTATATTCCAGATGAGCCACCGAATGCATTGGCAAAAAATACGTTTACAATCTTTGAAGAAAGTTTAATCACGAACAGGTATAGTATGATTTGTAATATTTTATATCAAACTCATGGGAAGGCCAATGAGATTCAGAGATAATACATAACTTGGAGTACTCATCTCCCAGAAATTAGAATATTTGTGCAATTAAACAAATTCTAACAGTATTTTGCACAATGTTTCAAAGTAGTTTCGTGAGGCAAGGGTAACATTAGCAAAATAGTAGTTAACATTTGTTGTGTTAAGTTTGTCCTTCCCCCGCACTTCCGATGAACACTTTTGGCTACGTATGGCGTGAAAGAAGTTCAACATACAATAATGATGAGTCTATGTTTTGTGCACTGTCTCAAGTTTATTTTGGCAGTCATATTAATCTAGTGTGCTTGTGTTCAGCTCACACGTGAAGAAAAATCTGGATGAACCCAGCAGTCCTGAATATGTGCATGCAGCTGCAGGCCATGAAAATAACCCCAGTCAAAAGAGTGTAAGTGTTTTAAATTAAGGATATTGTTTTTCTACAAAAATAAATATTTAAGTTGCTTGTTTGTGTTTTAATGTTTAACTCCTTTCGCACTAATTAGCCAACTGCTAATTGGAGGTGTGGGTGTTTTGTATACAGTAGTTTATACTGGTAGGAACGAAGTTGTAAACTGAGTGTACCAGCCTGCAATAGATTAATGCGTCCGGCCGTCTGTCCGTCCCCTTTCAATACTTTAACGAAGTGAAATCTCGTGCTGTTGGGTGTAAAATCAGCAATAGACAGCGCAGAGACTTGTCCTACCAGCCCACCCTGCAGGGACCTGTTATAATAGTATAAAAAAATCTGTATTGAACCAGGATAAAATATCCGATTTGTATGAATAAAGAAAATTCACTTACCAGAAATATATTGTTACATGTGTAGAAGAGCAGTCGGCGACGACTCAGGAGACGGCTTGAAGGTTAAGGGCTTCCGCCGTAAGTTTATTATAGTTATTATCAATACACCAGGGTGTAACAACTCCCAGGGGTTAGGGGTCCCGGGCTAGGTCCCACTAACTCCCATTACAGCCGGCTGCCCTGTGCTGCCCCCTCTGTGCCGGCCGTGGGTTCATCCAACACGGCCGACCGAGGAGCACAGCCACCTCCAGCCCTGGCGCTGTGCTATCCCCTATTCCTACCCTCTTGCCCCTGGCTCCCCGTTCCACCCTACTCCGAGCCCCGACTCCAGCAATGACCCCGCTTACGTCACGGGGTCCCCTTTTTATACTAGAGGAGATGTGACGTCATCAAGCCGCCCAGCGCGCATGACGCCACGTTCCGTGACGTCATCGCACCAGACGGCACACATGACGTCACGTCCCCATTTTACTCCTCTACACATGTACCCAAATTCGTAGCCGTCCACCCCTTATCAGTGCCTACCTTATTACAGTCCAATTCAGACCTTATTGGTCACCCCGTGCCCTTACAAATCTCAACGTTCATCCTACAAAGTCCCATCACAAGGGAGAAAACACAAACAAATAGACCAAAAAAATTGCCCATATTTAAACATCTGTATCTCGTATGGACCTCAACTCAATTTCCCTGTACAAGAATACGGGTAAACTGTATGGGTTGACAGGTATGCAAATTGTTACTTTTATACTGATGTATGTCGATCCCCATTAAAGGAAGTTGTCTATGTATCATAATTGTAAAGAAATACACTGGAAGGTAACGCCAGTGGCTTGTTTTTCCATAATACAGTATAGAGATTGGCTGCATTCCTTCATCCAGTATTATGATTTTTTTATGTTGATGCAACAGCCAAGGATTGCTATTTGAGTCGTTGATCAGGTGTTAGGTTTTTTAGTCGGAATAGATTATTGCTTTGGATGTGATCACTTAAATATCTTTGACATGTAATAATACAAATTTTACATTGTGAATTTTAGAAAGAATGTTCCCCCACAACACTTGTTGTCTCAAATGCCATAACAGGAGGACCTTGATGGGTTTGACCCGATGATGTGGAACCATACGACAGATGCCATGGCACCACCGAATCAGACGCTTGGATGGATCCCGGAAAACACACGGCAATTTGCTCAGCTGGCTCCACTGATGTCCACACCCTTCTCCGTGTGCCAGGACACACACGACGATGCAGATGAGAACTCGGAAAGTAATAAGAGCAATACAATTGTTCACACTTTTTATTACTAGATTTTAACATAGTTGCTGGCCGTTTCAACTTTGCATTTTATTCATAGGCTTTATATATGAATGATTTTTTTAAAAATTAACTTTTGGTTACATGGTGTAGATATGTAATTTTTACGTACTAACCCGCCACCATCTGACAGGCAATCAAATCAAGTTGCCTCTGACTAAAAATAAACAGTCACGTTGCCTAATCAGGAGGGCTGATGGTTGGTGGGGTGTAATGCTTTGCGCTGGCGTTTGACCACTCAGAGCCCTGGCTGTTAGGGATGTCAGAATTTTTATTACTCCGAGCTGACACCACCCCAGACAGAGGAGTTACAGCTGTGGAGCAGGCTACCACAAAGAACATCAACCAAATAAGAATCAACACAAGATCACCCACACACATCCACTCACACCTACGGTCCCTACCGCTTTCCCGGGACACACAAGCTTTTGGGGGGGGGGGAGAAAAGGGGGGTTGTCCACCTCCCCTACGCAACTCTGCTTCAGAGTTCCGATGTTCCTCCAGGGGTTTTCCTGTCCCTTTTGCAACTCTGCTTCGCAGAGTACCCCTCTCCCAGGGGTTCCACCTCCCCTATGCAACTCCGCTTCACAGAGTTCCCGTCCTTGGACAGTGGGAGATGTCCGTGGGCAGCCCGAGCGGCCATCCCGATAACCCGATGGCAACCGACTTCACTCTCGGCCAGTGCCAGGCTGCAACTCGCTTGCTTCCCTGCTCCTGAGGCTCCTGGCATGCTCTTGTGGCCCCAGACGTCCCACTGGCCCCGGTTCACTCCCCAGGTCGGCCGCTGGAAACATAACAATAATCATACCGTCACCTAATGTTTCCCTGTCCGATATCTATTCTATCGAGTTGCAGACAGCATTCAGGTCCTACTTACAGTGACGGTCCCGTGGTCCTCACTCGTGTCGCTGCTTGAGGGTGGGCGCTCGCCCAGCCACTCCTGCTGCTGCCACTGCTGCTTCTGAGTTGTGTGCCCCCACACTGCCGATTCGGGCTCTCTTTTTATAGGGCTGCGCAGCTCATTGTTTGGTCCCTAGGCTAATCCCGTGAGAGGGGTCCGTCTATAAATAGCCTACGTTGCCCTAGAACTGGTTGGCGTGTTCTCTCCCAAACCGGTCTGACCACACTATCTCCAGCTCACGGGTTAGGCTTCACGCACTACGCCACAAACATTAATCAACTTTGCATAGTACATGCTACAAGTTCTTTTGAATCATTGTGAATATCTACTTTGCACCAATTTTAGATTTGAAGCTTTCGTGACTGCAAGGATTCATACTCTTTGGTTTTTCAGTAAAGTCACGTAGGTAACGTAAAATGAAAACAACTAAATTAAATCACGACGTTTCGGAGGCAACACACGCTTCCGTCTTCAGGTGGAACAGTCACAGCAAAATAGCTGTATCAAGTGAAGAGCTCTGAGACACCCGAGATTATATACAGGTTAAGGGTGGGGGGAGGAGCCAGGAAGGGACGTGGGTGGGGGGGAGGGCTAAGTTAAGCCGCCTTTTATGCTGCAGGGGGTTTGGGGGGGAGAGATGCACAAGTACACACAACCCACTGAGAGCAATGGGAATGGCTGTACAATTATAAGGCAGCTAAAGTTTGACTTGGTTTATACATCCTTCCAATGGTTGTTCAATTTAAAACCATCCTCTCGGTTGAAGTTGTGTCTATGTTTGTATACCGGGAGGTTTGCAGAGCACTTTGGTATTGGAGAAAACAATGTCATGAGAACCCGCTGTGTTGAAACAATGATCAGCCACGGCCGAAGAATTTGTTCTGCCGTGTTTCAAATCTGATTTGTGTTCGCGAATTCGGACGGAAATATGTCGTTTCATCACCCCGATATAGCAGTCACCGCAGGTACAACTCAATTTGTAAACACCGGGGTACTATAAGTCAGGAATGACATCCTCTACGGATGGGATCAGATTACGGATTTTGTGTACTGTATTGAACAGGACCTGGATCTTGTGTTTGTTTAGAATTTTGTAAATCTTTTTGGTAACGCCTGTTATGTATGGTAACGTGATGATTTTGATCGGAGTATCAGGTGGTTGTTTCTGTATGGTGGGAGAAGCAGCTTGGCGGATAGTACGGTCAGAGTATCCGTTCATCTTGAGGGCCAGATGTACATGTTTTAATTCACTGGCCAGGTGGTGTTGGTCAGAAATGCAATGAGCCCTATGGTATAATGTTTTGATGAGAGAATTATTTTGAGCCAGGTGGTGGTGGGAATCAGGCTTCAAGTAGGAGTCTGTGTGGGTGGACTTCCTGTAAACAGAATGTCCCAAAGAGCCATCAGTCCTCTCAAACAGAACATCAAAGAATGGCAGCTTGCCATTTTTCTCCACTTCCATGGTGAATTTGATGGATGGGTGTCTGGAATTGATGTGGTCGAAAATGTCATCCACATATCTCTTCCATAGGGAAGGACGAAGGGTGGATGTCTGGATGGCGTCTGATTCAAATTTCTCCATGAAAACATTGGCTATCACTGGTGACAAGGGGGAACCCATAGGGGTACCCTAATTTTGTTTGTAGAAGGTACCATTCCAGGTAAAGTAAGTGTTGGTGAGGCAGTGCCTAACCAGCACAGGTACATCAGGGTTCAGTCCATGTTGGACCAAATCTTCAATTATTGTTATGGTGTCAGGCACTGGGACCAATTGTTTTAAGCTGCACAAAAAAATGTATAGCAATAAAAATGCTGAAGAATTCGCAATACCAAAAATTATTTAAGTTTGGTTTGAGCATTTTAGCACCAGTGATGATAATGGACAGCTCAACTTGTCAAAACTCATTGCACATATAAAATGGCCAGTTATTTTGAGCATGCATATATGCTTCTGGTCTTGCAGATAAGTTGATGAAGCCGGATATGCAACATCCTTTCCAAGGCATCTCCTGCTTTATGAGAACTTATGCTTCTCCACAGAAACGGCTCAGGTTAGTCATCTCAACACGTAATTATGTTTTGTGTTCGTTTTTTGTTTCATGTTGAGGACAACTAAAATAATGAACCATTATTAAAATGTATCTGTATAATCTGATTCTAAAAGTATCACTGTTATCCCATTGTGTTAACAAAATAACTTGAGTCGGAACCAAATAGGTTTTTACCTTGATGAGAATTATTTAACGTGAGATGTCAAATGCAGCTTGTTTAAAGTGTTTTTTTCTCACCTTTGCAGCCCAATTGTCGAGATCAGCAACGAGACTGCACGTTCTTCATCGTCGTCATCCTGTGCATCCATCACCTCTTTAAAGACGACACCCGACACAGACAGTATTGGCCCACAAGCAAAGTCAGCAACACCAGTCCAGTCTAACACCGTTAAGATTTTGTTTGAAGAGGTTACAAAACCAGAAGAGACGGTGGCCACACTGTCAAGCCAATCTTGCATGGACAAAAACGTGTTAATGCCCTCTTCTCTGCCCAGTGCTCCGAGATTGAAACCGGAATCTCAAAGCAGTTTTCAACACTCAGTAGTTGATGAGAATGCAGAAAACCAAGCTATGCACTTGAAGGATAACCTGCTAAAGGAACCACAGCAAATTCAAAGTAAGTCCTAGTATTTTAATTATACAAACTCCAATTTTGCAGCTCATTGAAAATTGGTGCAACCAATGCCCCATATGCATATCGTGGTATAACTTGACATTTTATATTTTTGCCATACAGGTGGATGTATTGTGGAGAGGCCTTGGAACCCATGTCTGATTGAATCTCTGCTCTCACAGCTGAAGACACCTTTAGAGTCTTTACCCAATTTTTTCTGCAGTAATGAATGCATTCCCAAAATAAATCTGACATCTAAACTTCAGCTTGGTAAGTGTGTGTTATATATTGCTTTAATGTCTAATTTGTAAAAAGCTGTTACAAATGTGCATATGATGTACAATTAATCATGCGTGATGTATTGCAGGGCCCACAATGTACCATGTGCAATCCTTAGTGGGGGATGGTGCTTTCGCCAAAGTGTATTGTGCTGTTGCCTCCAAACCTGATGGATTCGATGAGAAAGTTGCATTGAAGGTACTGGAGTTTTCATTTGTTTTTGCAACATTTTCAATAACACATGCTAAAACTGTTTGCTGCTGAAGTAAGGAGAATAAACATTTTCTCTGGTTGTGTTTCTCTTTAGGTTCAGATGCCAGCTCACCCATGGGAGTTTTACATGTGTACCCAGTTGAAGGCACGGTTAAGCCCTGTTAATTTGGCCCTCTTCATTAATGTGAACTCGGAGCATATATACCAAAACGGCAGCATCCTGGTTGGAGAATTGCATACCTGCGGATCACTCCTGGTGAGTACACTCAAGGCTGGATTATGGACCGGGCCAGTGGGGCCAGTGCCCCCGGGGCCACTGACTGCCAGGGGGCCTCCAAGCCTCAGGCCGTGCGCGGTGCGTGGCCCAAGACTTCATAAGGAAGTTGAAGGCCAGGGCCCTCAGTGCGCACAGTGCAAGCTGACCACTAGGCCCCTGGGTGCTTATAGTGTGAGCTAACCACTAGGGCCCCCCAGACCCCTCAGTGTTTACAATGTGAGGGCCCCAAAACATATTGGTGTTTAAAACATAAGCTGACCACTAGGGCTAGCAGACCCCTCGGTGCATACATCGAGCGTAACACCCGGGCCCCTTGTTACATACAGAGCATGCTTAAAACGAGAGCCTCTTGGAGTACATGTGCTTCTGTACAACTGAGCCACTGGTTGGCACGTTACAATATGCTGTGACATGATGCAATATTCACCAACAAGTCAGTTCATTCTGCATAACAGGACAGTTTGAAGGGCATCATTATGGCAAGCCTTTTGTTATTTGACCTACCGTAACTAGCTGTGCCTTTATTTTAGCTAGCTGCCCATTTTCCCTAGTAAGCTGCCCATATGATTCAACTTGTTAACATACATTAGTTAGCTGCCTTTTTGCCAGCTAGCTGCCCTTACAACCAAATTAGCTGCACTAAAAAGCCAACTAGTGAGACCGAGGGCTCGTCGTTTGTTGAGAGCTTAGTTAGCCGTTGACAAATCAATTATTAAAAATACACTGCGGTTTTGTGAAACATTTAAAAAATATGGCAAAAGGTATATTTTAATACACGAACGCATATATGAGACCCAATCCATACTTAAAGATTAAGGAAAACCCCATTATTTTTTTCCATCGACCGATCCACGGAAGTAGATAATGCTAACATTGACATGCAAATTGTCGACAACTCTTAGGTCTTTTTTTCCCCTTCCCCATCGATGGGATGTGGCCTATGTGCATAGTCTCCACCAAGTCATTTCACTGACTTATAAGACACCTTTGGTTCAGCCAATCTAAAAAACGTTATCTTTTGAATTTAAAGCAACATAATTATCTGTGACAGGCAGGTATATAAGACACTAGCTGTACTACCCGGCTTTGCCTGGGACTTGGATTCACCACGGGCGGCCGCCTTTGCTCCCCAGTGGCGATGTTCACACACCACACCAGTTACTCGTTTGAGGCTGAGTCGACCTAGGGGAGGCCCAGGACCGGTTCAAATAATCTTCACCGGCGGTGGCTGTGAGCGGGAATCGAACTCGGGTCGCCGGGTTCGTAGCGCGGCGTGCTAACCACTACGCTACAATGCGTTACGCTTCCACATGCGCGGGTCACATGATAGATTTGACGTCACAGCGCACTTGCCGTGCAACAAATATATGCATTATTGAGCTCCCCTCCCCCCAAAAAATTCAAAAGTGTATTTTTATAATTTTTGCATGGTGTACAGTCTGGAAAGTACCCACATGGCAAATTTCAAGTTTGTTGCATGTCGGAAAGTACACTAAACATTTTTAACAGACACACATTCACAACTTTGCCTTTTATATATATGGAGATTTCTTGATAGGAAAAGCGACAGACAGATGCCTGTTTTCTTTCTTGGTACGCCACAGTCATATATTCAGACTTTTAAAATCTTTTTTTAAAACAACAGCCTTTTTAAAGGCTATTTCAACAATCCTGCCTAAGGGCTATTTTCTAAGAGCCGTTTTAAAGGATTACGGTTATTTTATGTGCTTTCCTATTTTTTTTCTTTTAATCTACTCAAAGCTGCCTTTAGGTACAAGTAGACTATAAAATACTACCACTTGATTGTAT